TCCGCGCCCGGCACACGTAGACCCCCCCGTCCGGGGGCCGAGCGCTGAACAGCTTCAGGAAGTGCCAGTCTTCAGGCTCCTTCCCCACCGAGAAATGACTGCTCTCAAAGAGGTCGGAGAGCTCGTGCCCATCCTTCTCCCAGTGCAGCACCGGGCAGGGCTGCCCTGACACCCTGCAGGTGAACATCACGTCCTCCCCCCGGCACACCCGCATCGACGAAGGCCGGACCAGGAAGACGGGTGGCTTGTTTTCATGGTCTCCCTCCTCCTGGGGCTCCCTGGCCTCCACTTTAAGTGTGGCAGCAGCATAGGTCTCGCCAACGTTGTTCTTGGCCTTGCAGACGTAGAGCCCGCTGTCCTCCGGGGTCACTCGGGAGACCAGCAGGCTGTAGACATTGCCCTTGGCCTCCACATGGAAGCGGCCTGACGGCTCGATCGGGGTCCTGTCCTTCTCCCAGAGGATGCTGGGGCGGGGGTCGCCCGCGATCTGGCACTTCAGGACGGCGTCAGCGCCGTTTTGCACCGTGAAAGTGCGCGGGTAGGCCAGGAACCTGGGTGCTCCTGCAAACCCGTCCATCCCGGCCTCCCCGGCCTCACAGCGGGCAGCTCAGCGGGACAGCAACGGGGATCATCAACCTGGAGTGATGCACGGACAGACCGGGGCTGGGGTGAGGCTCCAGCTACGGCCCTGGTGCGGGGCACCTCCGGGAGGCACCCCCTGCGCCCCGCGAGCACGGCAGGAGCACTGCATCTCCTCCCCTCGCTCCGAGCCCCCTGCCCCACTGGGCTGCAGGGACACGGGCTGCCCCAAGCCCTCCCGGGGGCGGCGGGGGCCTGAGCCAGGATGCCAGCGCCCCACGAACATGCTGTTTGCCTGACTTGGCGCTTCCCTGAATATGCTCCAGCCTCAGCCCAAACCAGCCATTTTTCTGCCCAACAGCCGTGGGAAAGGTGGCAGAAGACAGTGCTTCGTGCCCCAAGGTGCCTACAGCCCCGGCTGTATATGCGTACAGACAGGACCCCCAGCTCCAGGAGCACAGGGCCCCTGGCTGGATGGGGCACGGGAGCGAAGGCAGCTCCACGCGGGGTGCCGGGGACGGGAGATGGGGCAGGGGCTGGGGCCGAGG